CCAAGCTCCCAGGCTCCCAGGCCCCGGGCTCCCAGGCCCCCAGGCTTCCAGGCCCCCACCTCCCAGGCCCCCAGGCTCCCAGGCTCCCGGGTCCTCAGGCTCCCAGGCCCCCAGGCTCCCAGGCCCCCAGGCTCCCAGGCTCCCAGGCTTCCAGGGCCCCGGCTCCCAGGCCCCCAGGCTCCCAAGCTCTCAAGCTCCTAGGCCCCCAGGCTCCGAGGCTCCCAAGCTCCCAGGCCCCCAGGCTCCCAAGCTTTCTGATCCCCAGGCTCCCAGGCCCCCAGGCTCCCAGGCTCCCAGGCCCCCAGGCTCCCAGGCCCCAAGGCTCCCAGGTCCCCAGGCTCCCAGGCCTCCAGGCCCCCAGGCTCCCAGGTTCCCAGGCTCCCAGGCCCCCAGGCTCCCAAGCTCCCAGGGTCCCAGGCTTCCAGGCCCCCGGCTCCCAGGACACCAGGCTCCCAAGCTCTCATGCTCCCAAGCCCCCAGGCTCCCAAGTCCCAGGCTCCCAGGTTCCCAGGCTCCCAGGCCCCCAGGCTCCCACACCCCCAGGCTCTCATGCTCCTAGTAACACAAGCTCCCAACGAAAACAAATGGACTTCTCAATTTTGAATGTATAGCCAGGTGAAGTTCGACCCTTCATAGTGGACCGGAAAGTGCATGGCACTCCCTTAGGGAGCCGGAGAAAGCTGTTTACATCGAACTATCCAGTCATAAGAAGCCATTATCCTAATTCTGTAGGAATCAAGCCAATTTAAACGTGGAAATCCCCTCTGGAAGCAAATGGACTTCCCATTTTCGAATGTACAGCGAAAGTAGTCAAGCGACTGTGTGCATAAGCAGTCTGGAAAGGATTTGAACTTGATGCTATTTAGCCCAGCACAAGTAATATCCAACCTTGACCACGGATCTGGAGCAACCGCTGACGGAAGAGAAGAAATGAACAATGAACACAACATAACACAAAAATGCAAAATATACACGGACATAAAGTTAAAGAAATGAATACGACTTAGCCAGCTTGGCTGCTGGACTGCCATGCTTGCACAGTCGAACTACCTCGCTCACATAGACCGCGGTTAGCTGCTTGCATGAATAAACAGAATGGTTCCACCTCAAATATATTCGCCGTTGGTGCCTTTCATTAGCGCCAGCCAATCTCTTGGCAGTACAGCGGCGACCCACAGGCAGGATCTGTACCTGTCTCATTGTGCATTGCCACTCATTGCAGCATCAAACTAACAAGTGTTATCGTCTTTGTAATAATTACCTTACTCAGGATCAAGAGTCTCTGGCTGTGCTATAGTTGGCTCCAGCCCGACCCTACTCTCTAACTATGGTTAGCCCCGCCAGCCGGACCGGGTACGACAGCCTTTGCGACCGGCCACTGGACCGGAACCGGACCCGCCGAATTTGGACCGAAAAGGTGTTGCTCGACGCCCCCAATCATGTCCTAGTGATAAAGTATGACCATAGCCAGCGTTTTGAGCTGTCAGGCCGACGCGCGCGACCGGTCTTCGCTATGTTTGGGTTGCTTTGAGACACATGGAGACACACACACATGTACGCGCAAATGAAAAATGAAATGAGCAAATTTATATTTTCTGTTTCCTTTAAATTGAAGTTGGAAGTGGAACACCCTCACAGTCCGTAACACCTAAGACCTCAAGTAACAATGAAGTTCGATAAAATTTTGGTAATGATAACACCTAAGACCTGAAAGTAATGATGAAAACGATGAAGTTCTGCCTGCGGCTCTGGTGCCGACGGGGCATGCCGGTCTGATGCGGGTGGCTTCACCACCGACGCCGACGGGGCATGGAAGTCTGTTGTGGGCAGCTGCAGCGCCGACGGTGTGGGCTGCTCGCGAACCGGTCTAGCGTGCGACGGTGGAAGCTAGTGCTGAGGAATCAGGACCTTTTGCATGCTTGTCGACA